TAAATGAAACCATACCACCCCATTTAGCTCATAAAGTTGCATATCAGATTCTATAACTCAGGATTTCATTTTATATATCACATGTGCTTAAGGAGGCCATGAGCCAGGTTATATGGAAGTCACCTTCTCAACAATGGCCTCTTGATACAGTCTCCTCTGAAAAATTCTCAGCAGTTCAGAGATAAGATAAATATCCATCTTATTATGAGGATGACACCCAGATGGTTACGTGGAAGGCAATCTAGATAACCTGCATGGCATATTTTGTTGCTGCCCTTTAGAGAAATTATTACATATATGAACAATTTTGGCAATTTTGAAGAACTCAGGAAAATATCTAAAAGTTTCTATATCTATACAAATAAATGGGACTTACTTCCATAAGTACTAATGATTTAAAAAAAAAATCACCATAGGTTCATTTTTCTTTATGTTTATTAACACATGATAAAGTGAGTCACATGGATTTTTTCAAATCATTAAAATATATAATACTAGCAGGCTAAATAATATGAGATGATCTGAAAGAGTCCATTTATATCATACTAGGCATCCAACTTCAAGTCAAAAAGAGAACTTGGTTCTAGGGAAAATCAGACTCATTGTTTTTCTCAAATACTTTATCAGATAACTGGATTAGAGAAATATTCAGTGCCTTGCTCACCTATAAAGAATGAAACATAAAAACTAATCTAGAAAATCCAAAAGAGGATGAAAGAAATTTCCTAATTATAAGATCAATGAACAAAAGAGTGGTTCTGACTTGTAATCCGATTTTCATGTTGATTTTTATAAGCCAGCAGGAGACAGGCACCTCTGGTACTACAGCTTCTCCCATCCCTGGAAGACCGTTTATAAACGTGTGCAAAGGAAACATACTGGCTCTGCCACTTAACTTTGAACCCATACTAAAATGGGTCCATTGTAAAGCAATCATGAATAAAGAGATGGATGGTATATGAAAAAAAAATATATATGTAATATACGTTCTGTTTTGTTTTTACCTTTCTGAGAAGATTCCATTCTGAAAAGAAGCGACGTAAGTCTTTCTTTTGTCCACAGGCATGACGTCAACATAACCACCATGATTTCGAACCACCCCAGCATGTACTGCTGCTCTGCAGATACTGGACAGCTGAGGAGGCAAGGAAAAAACAGGCCATTATTAGGAAATTCCTGCTGGACTTGCCCAGCCTATTCTTCTACTGGACTCAAGTCACTGAAATGTGGCTCGTTATCGATAGCCAGTGAGCAGCTAGAGGATAATGTTTTGAACATAAAGGAATGTTTCAAAAGTCAAAACTCAA